CGACCGTGGCGCCTGCGCCCCCGTCCCCTTATTCCGACCGACCGTGGGCCCCCCCCCCCCGCTCCCCCCCCGCTCCTCCCCTGCGCCCCCCTCCCCTTATTCCGACCGACCATGGGCCCACCCCCCGCTCCCCCCCTGCGCCCCCCCGAATTCCGCTTTTCGACACGATGATCTAGCCGCCCCTTCCCGTCTTCGAATCTGTCCCTTGCCAACGTGTCGCAGCAATTGCGGCACGCTTCCCGGCGCCTGCCAAGGACTGCCTCCCTCGCGATCCCTGGTTTTCTCCATCTCCCATGGACCCACATCGTCATTGTATGATCCTTGGCCCGCGTGCCCCTTGTTTGAATCTGCGCGTGGCCCTCACTGTGCTGGACCCCCCAGCAGGCCTCGAAAATGGCGACAGTTTCGCAGATCGCAGCCCCCCAGGGATGGCGAGGTCTAATTTGAATCCGCGCGTGGCCCTCACTGTGCTGGGCCCCCCAGCAGGCCTCGAAAATGGCGACAGTTTCGCAGATCGCAGCCCCCCAGGGATGGCGAGGTCTAATTTGAATCCGCGCGTGGCCCTCACTGTGCTGGGCCCCCCAGCAGGCCTCGAAAATGGCGACAGTTTCGCAGATCGCAGCCCCCCAGGGATGGCGAGGTCTAATTTGAATCCGCCCGTGGCCCTCACTGTGCTGGCCCCCCAGCAGGGCTCGAAAATGGCGACAGTTTCGCAGATCGCAGCCCCCCAGGGATGGCGAGGTCTAATTTGAATCCGCGCGTGGCCCTCACTGTGCTGGGCCCCCCAGCAGGCCTCGAAAGTGGCGACAGTTTCACAGATCGCAGCCCCCCAGGGACGAGGTCTAAAGCTGCTGGGCCCCCCAGCAGGCCTCGAAATGGCGACAGTTTCGCAGATCGCAGCCCCCCAGGGATGGCGAGGTCTAATTTGAATCCGCGCGTGGCCCTCACTGTGCTGGGCCCCCCAGCAGGCCTCGAAAATGGCGACAGTTTCGCAGATCGCAGCCCCCCAGGGATGGCGAGGTCTAATTTGAATCCGCGCGTGGCCCTCACTGTGCTGGGCCCCCCAGCAGGCCTCGAAAATGGCGACAGTTTCGCAGATCGCAGCCCCCCAGGGATGGCGAGGTCTAATTTGAATCCGCCCGTGGCCCTCACTGTGCTGGCCCCCCAGCAGGGCTCGAAAATGGCGACAGTTTCGCAGATCGCAGCCCCCCAGGGATGGCGAGGTCTAATTTGAATCCGCGCGTGGCCCTCACTGTGCTGGGCCTCGAAAATGGCGACAGTTTCGCAGATCGCAGCCCCCCGCAGGCAAGACAGAAAGAGGCAGGAAAGAGGCGGGAGGCGGGAGGAGGAAGGACGCGACCACACTGCTCTATTCAAAACGAATACCCAACCAAGGAGGGTTGGGAAAAAATGTAGTCCTTGTAGAAGGAAGCTCCAAATTCCTCTGTCGTGCAGGGTACCTGAGGAAGCATTATCCGACGGGAGGAATCACCACCCAGCAATAGCCAACACGGCCAACATTAGTGCGCAAATAATTCCACGCGCGGTCAACACTGGACAAGCTCAGCACAACAATGACGAAGTCTTACTGAGCACGGCCACTGGCGAGATCCCCAACAGACGGCAACGACGACGACCGCAACGACAACGAGGGCGATGAGACGAGGGCGACGCCGATCACGACGACCACGAAGACGACGACGATCACGACGATCGCGACGATCACGACGACGTCGAGGGAGAGGAGGGGAGGGCGAGGAGGGGAGGGCGAGGAGAGGGAAGGACGAGGAGGGGACGAGGAGGAGCGCGAGGAGGGGAAGGACGAGGAGGCGGAGAACGGGGGAGGGCGAGGAGGGGTGCACGAGGAGGAAGGCCGAGGAGGGAGAGCGAAGAGGGTGAGGAAGGGAGGGGCGAGAAGGGGCGGGACGGCAATTCCCAGGCGAGGGCCCCCCATCACTAAAGACCCTCCTCCTCCTCTTCCTCCTCCTCCTCCTCCTCCTGCACGCCGAGGCGCGGGAGCGACAGGGGAGCATCCGCGCCAGAGCCGCCCTGCATCCACGGCCAGACCAGCGAGCCGACGACCTGGACAGGCTTCCCGCCGACGAACCCTGACCTCGAACCTCTCGAGACACTCCAGGCGGAGGCGTTTCGCTATTTTCGGCCTCTGGGGGGGCCCTCGCCGGGCCCTGGGGCCAGCAAAGAAACGACTCGGGACGGCAAGCCAGCCTTGGGAAACAGGTCCAGACCTCAGGATGCCCCGTCTTGAGAAACTCGAGACGTCGGATTTCTGGGACGGAGGTGGGTCTTCCAGGGGGCGCCCAAGAAGGAGGCGTCCAAGAGGGGGGCTTCGCAAATCATGGCCCGAGGCACGTGCGCGGCCCAGGGGTGGCCTGGGGACATACTAAAATAAGAAGAAGTGCCATGAAATCTGGGGAGATATCATGGCCCCAGCCGTGATATCCACCCCCAAATCATTACCCCCCTCTTGGCCGTCCCCGAGCCTTGGAGGAGAAGGCTCCTGAGGTTGTTCGCAAGGTTCGGCCCCAGGGGCGTCGAAGAAATGACTCTGGGTAAAGCGTTGGTCCTGGGGAAAGCCCCAGGGCGCAGGACCCGTTGCCCTCAGGGCCCGCTCGTGTCGTGCCAGGTCGTAACCGTCGTCATCGTCGTCGCCGTCGCCGTCGCCATCGCCGTCGTCGCCGTCGTCGCCGCCGTCGTCGTCCCGGGCGCGAGTGGTCGGGAGCTGCTTCAGTGGGGCCACGTGCATTTCGGCGTTTCCCTCAGGACTCTGGACTCCTTTCCGTGGCCAAACTTGGCGACGTTGTTGTCAGGCGGGGAAGGGCCGCCCTGACCAAGCACCGCGTCGCCTCGCCTCGCATCGCGCGGCCACATACTCGTGCAAGGCATCGCCTCGCATCGCGTGGCCGAAGCCGTTCCAAGAGGGTGAAGGGCGACGCTACTTTCATGAAGGGGCCCTGCTGGGACACACAAATAAGTACACACAAATAACAGGATTCCCCATATTTCCCATATTTTCGGGGTGTGTGTCTTACCCCCCACTTCCCATATGTCCCCATATTTTCTGGGTAACCGACGATCGATTGTGTCTGTGTTCTTTTTGTCCCTCCTGATTTCAGGCGGGGGAGGGCCGTCCTCGCCAAGCACCGCGTCACGTCTCGCCTCGGCGCGTGACCGCATGCTCGTGTCAGGCATCGCTTCGCAGCTGGGCGGCGAAGCACGCCATCCTGAGACAGGAGGAGGAGCACGAGGACGAGGACGAGGACGAGCAGGAGGAGGACGACGCAGAGGACGAGGACGAGGACGAGGAGGAGAACGACGACGAGGACGAGGGCGAGGGCGAGGCGGGGGAGGAGGACGAGGACGAGGGCGCGCCCGTGGGCCCTCGCCCAGGACAACGGCACCGTGCCTCGGGGGCGAGCAGCGCGGGGGCGCGAGGGGGGCGAGGGGATCCGGGGGCGCCGCGGCTCTGGCGCCTAGCCCACCGCGGGCCCTGGGCGCGGGCGCGCGGGGCCCTCGGCCTCCCGAGGCGAAGCCCTCGCCCGGGCGCAGGCCCGTCCGCCTTCCGCGGGAGCGCGTGCTCCCAGAGGAGGGAGAGAGATCGGGGCGACGTACGGTGGAGGTCAGTCCACAAGAAACCTTCCAGAAGAAACCCAACCCTTCTACCCCAGGACGTCCCTTGATTTATTGGCGTGGGAGCGTCGCGCTTGCCACAGCGAAGCCATCGACACCCTAAAAACCCAGGGCACCCTGGAGGCAAGCAGGGTGTTTCTTGGCATGGGTCTCCACTGTAAGACGCAGGTTCGGGGGACTCGGGTTGGCCTGACGGGGCCATGCTGAAAATGATGAGGCCCACTCTGAAATCTGGCGCGAACTCCCGCGGCAAAAACATCCCACGAGAACCGTACCGTCAAGATCGAAGACGCGCTCGACCAAAAGCGTCGGCAAGCCCGAGTTCCGGCGCACTCGAGTGCTGCGTTTCCCCGAGGCGCGAGAGGGAAGGCGCCCCCCGCGTCCTGCCCGAGGGGGCGGCGAGGCGCGGCGCGTGCGCCGACGCCGCCGGCGTGCTGCCCCTCCCGGGGCCACGTTGGCGCCGTGGGCTGGTGGGTGCACCCTCGCCCTCCCCCCCCTCCCCCCGGCGGTCGCACATGGCGGGGTCTCGGAGGCGCGCGAGCCAAACTCTGTTCGAGCACCAGGCCGCGTCCGAGCCTCCGGCACGGATGAGTCTTTACAGTCCTCTGCGCCGGCCGCCCGAGCACTGCGCAGGGCAGTAGATGCAGACAGCTTGGCCCGTCCAGCACCTCGCCAAACCAGGCGCGGTCGGCTCAGCGCCGAAACCCTGGCGCGCGCGTCGGGAAGGAAAGAGAGAAGCAGTCCACCTCAGAGGTGCACTGGAGCAACACCGGCGGAGCGGGAATGACTGGTGGAGGCGGGGAGAGCGGAGGGGGCGCGGCCCTCACCGCCACTCGCCTTCTCCGGGGGATCCGCGAGAGGTCCTCCTCGCCGCGGCTGGATCCGCCCTGATGTCACGGCAACGACGCGCCAGGACAAGGGCCAGGATCGACTTCCGAACCGTGGCGACGAGGGCCCCCGGGGAGGCCCGAACAGCCGATGAAGACATCAAGATCGCCCTCATCCCTCCCCCCCTCCTCACCCTTCCCCCCCTTTTTCCCTCCCATTCCCACCCCCCCTCACCCCCGCTCCGCCGTGCATCCGACGACCCAGCTGTGTTCGAGACCTCCGCCCCTGGAGCGCTCGACCACTTCCCTGGGACTAGCGTTTGTTCCTGAGTCGGCCTTGGCGGCCCCAAGGCCCAAAAAAACGGACCTCAAAACGCCTCTTGCGCGGCTCTTCTTGTCGAACTGCCGGAGGCACGGGCTCCTCCTCCTCCTCAAGGATCGGCGCCGCTGTCGTGGATCCGAGGCACGGCGGGCTCCTCCTCCCCCCTTCCCGGGCCGGCGGCAAAGGCGGGCTGGGGCCCCCGCCCGCGACGACGCCCGCGGGGCTCTGGGCTGGGCGAGTAGTAGGAGTACTCGTACTCGTACTCGTACTCGGACCTGGCTGGGGGAGCGCGGCGACCAATGGACTGGAAATGCCATGCCGGCGGGAGGTTCGCAGAGGCCAGGCTGGCCCAGAGGGCTGTGCGAAAAGCTGACAGCTCCCAGGGCTCCCCGAACCGAGCGGCCACACGCGAGCAAAGCCGCACGCCGACCACACCTGGGGGAGGGCGTGCACGTCTCCAGAACGGCACGCGCGCCGAGGGGGGCACCGACGACGACGGGAGAGGAGAGCAGGGCGGACGGGGCAGCTCCGCGGGCACTGCGGCCCCGGCAGGGCAGCAGCGTCCGCCCCGAGAGGCCGCGCGGAACCCCCCAGGCCGCCAGCTCCCCCGCCGCCCCCGCTCACCTCGGCACGCCGACCACACACGCCGTGGCCCCTGTGAGGAGCTTCCACCGAAGGACGCCGCGGCCGCCATCGCATGCGGCTCCCCCACAGCCCGCATGCGGTGCCCGCCCCAGGTTGGCACACCCCTCACGCGGCTCGCGCGCCCCACGCGATCCGCAGCCCCACGGGGAGTTCCGCCCCGAGCGTCCCTCCCCCTCGGCGGTCTGCTCGTCTCTGCGTGCTTGCTGCGCCCTGCTCTGGCACGCAGGGCCAAGAGCATGGCCCCCCTGGCCGCCAGCGCAGAGCGTGGCCGCGGTCGGACCCCGCCTTCCGCCCACAGCAGCTGCTGCGGGCGGCACCCCTGTCCCACCAATGCCTCCCCCTGGCGGGGGAGGGAGGAAGGAGGGAAAGGAGAGGCATAGCGAGGATGGGGGGGAGGGAGGGAGGGAAGGGAAGGGAGGGAAGGGGACGGAGAGGAGAGGGAGGGAAGGGAGACAAGGGGACGGGGAGAGAGGGAGGGACGGGACGAGGAGGAGAGGGAGGGAGGGACGGGGAGGGAGGGAGAACAGGGAGGGAGGGACGGGGAGGAGAGAGAGGGAGAACGGGAAGGGAGGAGAGGGACACCGAGGGTCAATGCTTCAGGTCTGCGGGCGCTTGGTCCTTTCTGAGAATCCGGAAGCCCCTAGAGGCCCTAGCGGACCTTCGGAGATCTCCCTCCGCTTCAATGGTGGAAAGCCTGAAAAAGGCTTGTATGGAGCGTGTATGTTACTTGCGCCTGGCATCTGCATCTATGACAACGCTCGAGAAGCAACTGCGCTGTATGTGTCATGACTGTCTGTTGTTTGCGCGTGCCCCTTCTGCGCCTGTCATGGGTATGTTTGCGCCTGGCATTGGCCGCCCTGTCCGCACAGTGCGCCTGGCCTTTCGCGCGTCTGCCACTCGTGCCAGCAGTGCATGCAGCTGTTGTGCGTGTTGCACAGGCAGTTCAGTGGCCACTCGTTGGGGATGCGAGGCGGGATGTCATGGGTTTCTCGGGGATCTTGGGGCCTGGCGGCCGCGGCGTGCGGGGGCGAGCGGGCGGGCTGTGTTCCCCCAGCGTCTGCCATCACTGGGCGGAGAGCAAGATGGCGAGGCCGTCGGCGCCCCCTTCCCTCCCTTCGGGAACACGCTGGCCTGGGTCAGGGCTGACCCGGGTCAGCCAGTACCGCCACTTCTCTGATCGAGCTCCTTCAAGCTGGCCCCAAGATGGCCCCCACGGCTCCCAAGAGTGCCCCAGAAGGGCCCCAAGAGGCGCCCACGAGGCCCCAAGAGGCCCACAAGAGGTTCCAAAGAGACTCCCCAAGACGCCCCAAGAGGGCCCCCAGGACCGCCTAGAGGCCCCCTAGACGTCTCAAAAAATCAAAGAAGCTCACGTCAGACATCCGAAGCGACTCCGAGAGGTATCCAAGAGGCCTCTGGCCTTTCTGCTCGCCCTCTTCCTCCTCCTCCTCCTCCTTCTCGGCAAATTCCGCCTCATCCCTCCTCCTCACTCCCCCTCCCCCTCCCACTCCTTCCCCTCCTCCTCCGGTTGCTGCTCCCTCCTTTCCCTCTTAAGCTATGACGGCTTCTCCCCCTTGGTTCAACTGTGTGCTTCTCCTCTTCCCTGATCAGGGCAACTCGCCTGGGCATCTGTTCTGGATAACGATGGGGTTACGCGGAGCGCGTCGACGATTTACATCAAGACATACAGCAACGACATTCGTAAACCATATCACTACGACACACCAAGACCATACAGCAACAATGTGAGCCACTACCACGAATCAACAGCATGTATCAAGAACCGTGCTTCACCACAAACAAACACACACACACACCAGGAACTCACATCCATGATATCATGCTTGGGCACCCCATACACCAGCAACTTGCACCAAATGAACGTAAACCAAGGACTTCCGCTCAGGGCCGCCTAACACACATGCATGCCACGTGAAAGCAGTGCAGCCATAGACCTAACAGATGATGCAGCATGCACCGCGCAACACGCCACGCCGAGTAGGCACGCAACGGACCTCGAAGCCGCTCGCATCGGCTCCCTGGCGGGCATCGCCCGACGGTCCCTGGGGGGCCGAGAACACCGAACACCCCGGCTTCGACATCCTCGCACCCCCCGGAGGTCTGGGCGTCGGGCCTGGACCGCCGGGGTTGCGCTCGCGCCCGCGCTCCCGCGGGCGACGAGCCCGCAGAGACACGGCGTCGAGCCCGTGGGTGCGGTGGCCGTGCGCGCACTGCGGATCGCCGGGCCCGCCACCGGCAGGATGAGCGCGCCGGGGGCGCAGGGGGGGGGGGCTGACGGGGTTGCGTCACGCCGCCGCCGCCCGCCCCGCGGAGGCATGCTGGGCCAGGCGCCTGCGGCGGGCCTCCTGCGTCCTGCCCCCTCCTCGTGCACCTCCTGCTCATCCCCCCTATCGCCTCCCTCCTCCTCCTCCCTCCTCATCCCTCCCGCCCCCTCCTTCCTCCTCCTCCTCCTCCTCCTCCTCCTCCTCCTCCTCCTCCTCCTCCTCCTCCTCCTCCTCCTCCTCCTCCTTCTCCCCCTCCTGCCCCATCCTCATCCCGCCAACTCCCTCTGCCTCCTCCTCCGCTTCCTTCTCCTCCTCCTCCGCCTCCTCGTCCTCCTCCTCCTCGTCCTCCTCGTCCTCCTCCTCACCCTCCTCCTTCTGGCAATGTAACCACTGTTTGCATGTTCGTCGGGAGGGGGCTCGCAATAATCCGCCGTGCGTTAAGAGGCATCGCCTCGAGGTCGACACACGTCAGTTTCGGAGGCATTATCTGTATCTGCCTCCGTTTCAGACCGTTCTCGACGGCTAAATCTGTAAGGCATCTCAGCCAGACGTGTTGGGCGGCACCTGCTGACACTCGGGGCGCCAACTATTACTCAAATCGGAGCACCGCTGGCAGGCACCCCAAGCTGAAAACGGTTTGGCTATACGCTAAGGCCGACAGCGTGATCCACCTTATCGATGAATCGGCCCTCGTGCGCACCAGTCTCCTGCACTCGTTTATTTGTTCAGAATGCTGAAGGATTCGGTTTGTGACGGGATGAAAAAAGGCGGCGGAATACAAAAGGATCCCTTCCAAGGCGGAATCCCTTTGTGATCGCGAAGCACTGACGACCCCCCCCCCGAGAAAAAAACGACATAACGATGAATTCTAGCAAGCTGCCCTGGGCCATCGCCACGACTATGTCGAGATCCTGGCGTCGTTGTTGAATTGTTTCTTTTGGGTATTTGTCAGCGCTTCTCGCTCACAAAGGGAATATGTACGCACTCCGCCATACACTGAACCCTCCTGTATCCCGCCACGAAACGACTCCCTTTGTTATTCCACCGCGAAAGGAATATTTTCCGAGTGTGCCACAGAAAGAAAATGCTTGCATCCATTCCACCACTAAAGGGATCCCCTTGTAAACCACCGCAACCGGAATCCCTTGGCATGTCGCCACCAAAGGGCATCCTTCTGCACATGACAAATCTCTGGGAAATCAACCAAAGAGGGATGATTGTTGTATTCAGCCACCCAAGAGATCTCGTTGTAATCCACCGCAAGAAACAAAGTGGGAGGGCCTTTTGTATTCGACCACATTGCAATACTTTCGTATTCCACCACATGAAGGATCCCTTGGTAATCAACCACAACGTGTAATCTGCCACACAATGAATCCTTTAGTAACCCACACAAGGGAAACCCTCAGTATTCTGCCGCAAAGGGGAACCTTCAGTATCTTACCACAGACAGAATAAGTCCTTGTTGAACTCAGACGCAAGGGGAACCCATTTATATACGACCACAAAAACATCCTTGTTTATCCCGGCACAAAAAGAATCCCTTTGTAACCCGCCACAGAAGGAATCCCTCAGCACTCCGCCACAAAGACCATCGTGTTGTATTCTGCCATATCGGGAATCATGTTCCACTCCGCCACAAGGGGTACCTTCTTGCACTCGGGCACAAAAAGATTCCCTTTGTATCCCACCACACGAAAGAATCCCTTGGTAATTAACGACAGAAGGATTCCGTGTTAGGAGCCCCTTCGCAAGCCGCCACAAAAATGACCCGCGTGGTAGCCCGCCACAAACAACAATACTTTCGTATTCTGCCGTAGCGGGAATCCTTCGCATGTCGCCACAAGTGGAACCCTTGTGTATCCAGCCAGACAGGGATTATTTTGCACTCCCCCAAACAAGGAACCCTTTTGTAATCCACACCGGAGGATTATCTTGTACTTCGCCACAAGAGGAATGATCGTGTACTGGGCTAAAGTATGCTCTTGCTTTCCGCCACAACGGGAATACGTTTCCATTCTGCGGGAAACATCTCGTGCAACTCGAAAACGAAATTACGCAGCCAAGGTAACTGGCGCATTACAGAAGGGAGTCCTTTCGTGGTGGAACACCAAAGGATTCATCTAAGTGTAATAGCAACCATGTCTTTTCGGCAGGATACATATAGATTCTCTGCGCGTGTGGTTAAAAGAAGGTATCGTGCGCTGTTTTATTGACACGAGGGGGAAGAGAAACAAAAACGATCAAACCTCCCAGGCCTGTATCGTGCCTGGCGCCCCCCCTCGTCCTCCTCCTCTTCCTCCTTCCTCGTCTTCCTCCCCCTTCTCCTCCTCCTCCTCCTCCTCCTCCTCCTCCTCCTCTTCCTCCTCCTCCTCCTCGTCTGCACTTCCCTCCTCTTCCTCCTCCTCCTCCGCCTCTTCTTCCGCCTCCTCTTCCGCCTCCTCCTCCTCCCCCTCCTCCACCTCCTCCGCCTCCTCCTTGCCTTGTCCTCATGAATAACTCCGCCGTGTCGAACCCCAGACGTGTCGGTAGAGCGGGCTGGGTGTTTACCTGGGAGCCACTCACCATTTATGGTCATGAAGCTTACAATTTGGCCAGAGCTTCACGAATGGAGGGCGGATGGTGTTCTAACTGTGGCTACCGCGTGAGCGTGAACGCTGCGAACCTTCGTTTTACAAATTCGCAAGGGATTCACGGAATGAGGGTGGGTGGCTTTCAACATGTGGTTCTCGCCTTAGCGCCGTCGTTTCGTTGTTCCTAGAGATTCCTGCGCTTCGTGCCAGCCAAACGCGCGCGCTGGGCAGCATAAGTCGCCAGAGCTACCCTGGCCTGGTCGATGGCGCTCTTGAACAGCTGCTTCGCCATGTCCGCGATGCCCTGCGACAGCGCGTTGGACGTCTTCTGTACATCTTCACGATCCTTGGACGACAGCTCGAGCTCCTGACCCTTGCCGAAATCCTCCAAAAGATCACACTTGATGAGTGGTCCGATGACGACGGAGCCTGCAGTGAGGTCTTCCAGCATGACCATCGGAGACGGTACAGACGGGGCAGCAGTTTCAATTGTCACCAGCCTTCTCGGCAAGCCTGGCCAACTCGTTAACTTCGTCAGTCATGATGTTGGGGACGGGCCCAGGCGGCATCGGGGCCAAGTGGCCGTAGGCACCACCGCCTGAAGCCGCAGGCGGGAGAGCAGGAAGCTGAGGCTGTCGTCCAGCACCTGGGCCGAACCAACCTCCCTGCACGTGACCACCCTTGCCCTTGCCGAAGCCTCCCTTCCCCACAATGCCGCCGCCTGACAATCCGCCTTTACACATGCCACCCTTGCCGAAGAAACTTGGGGGTACAGCAGGAGCGGACCAAAAGCCTCGAGCCACGGGAGCGCTGCCGACAGGAAGACGAGGAAGAGGCGGGCACAATGCTTGCATCAACCATCATCTGGACCATTATTCTTGCACCCACAGGCTGAACAAACGAACCCCTGCGGCTGTTCAAACGTTTTACCTTTGCTACCTCTCCCACATGTTTGCCAGCCTCCGCCACTGTCTACAGTGTCGGGACGAGCCCAGAGCGCATGCGAGAAAGAAGGATCAGGCACCATCGGATAAGAGCTGTAGACCAGGTACATGGAGTTTCCATAATTCCGAACGCAATTGTGAAAGACGAACTGCCGGGCAGACGCCAGCGCACTGTGGGGGCCCTGGAACGCCCCCTGCCACGAAAACTCAAATCCTCTGAGCCTCCCGCTACGGACTTCAGCCAAAATGGCTACGAAATCCTCCTTTTCCTCCGTGTCCTCCTCCTCCACCACCGAGGAGGAGGAGGAGAAGGAGGAGGGCAACCGAGGGACGCTGACGAGAACGCCAGAGGCCGAGGAGTACAAGGGCGAGGGCGGTGGCGAGTGCGGTGTCGGCGGCGAGGAGTCCCCGCCGCCGCCGCCGATGCCTGCCTCCGCTGGGCGCCGCCGCCCCTCGCGGGCTGCCCCCGAGCCGCGATCGCACCCGGCAACGGGCGCGGGCGCGCCTGCGCCCTCGCGAGCCAGGCGGCCGGCGGCGGGCGCGGCGGCGGTCTGCTGCGGCGGCGGCCAGTTGCGGCGGCCGGCTTCAGCGGCGCCGGCGGTGGCGGCGGCCGGCGGCCAGCGCAGAGCCCGGCCGCGGCGGACGGCTGGCCAGTGGCTGTGGGCGGATGCAGCGCGCCCTCGCGAGCTGTCGGCGGCCGGCGGCTCGGCGGCGGCGGCGAGGGCCCGCGACCAGCGTCCGACCAGCGACGGCGACAGCCAAGGACAGCGAGGGTGGAAACAGCCACGGATGGCGCTTGCCAGAAGGGCAGGAGAATGCTGAGGAGGGAGTCTGTGTAAAGTCTTGGGGCTTCCAGGATGCCTTCTGACGCTGTCGGATATTTCCTGGCATGTTCGGGGAAGGACAAACCGATAGACCGTGGGACGGTGTGGTACGATGGAAGATGCTGCTCCCGATTGTGCATACACAGCAGGTGGGCAGACTTTGCTGGTCACGCTGCCTGTCAGCGGCAAAGGGCGCGGGAGAAGGAGTGCGGCAGGGAAGGAGGGAGGGAGGCAGCAGGAGAGAGGAGGAGGCAGAGGGAGGGGAGGGGAGGAGGCAGAGGGGGAGGAGAGAGGGAAGGGGGAGAGAAGGGCGGGGAGGGAGAGGAGTGGAGCGGGGCAACGCAGCATGATCCGGCCCCGCCTTTGCGGTCGCACACATAACTCAGCGGTCTATCACGTGGCGCGCGGCGCACGGCGGGCTGAAGGAGGGTCCGAGCCAGGCGTGGACACGACCCAGTTGGGGGAGGGTCCCCGCCCCCGGGCGGACGGCAAGGGAGGCATGCGCAAGCCATTATGCCTCATCCACCCTCATGCAAACCTCCTTTTCCTCCTCCTGATCCTCCTCCTCCTCCTCCTCCTCCTCCTCCTCCTCCTCCTCCTCCTCCTCCTCCTCCTCCTCTCCTCCTCCTCCTCCTCCTCTCCTCCTCCTCCTCCCTCCTCCTCCTCCTCCTCCTCCTCCTCCTCCTCCTCCTCTTCCTCCTCCTCCTCCTAACCCTCCTCCTCCTACCCCTGCTCATATCCCCATCCTCCGTGTCCTTCCTCCTCCTCCTCCTCCTCCTCCTCCTCCTCCTCCTCCTCCTGTTCCTCCTTTTCTGTCCTCCTCCTCCTCCTCCTCCTCCTTTGCCTCCTTTGCCTCCTCCTCCTCCTATGAATGTTCTCCTCAGTACTATAATTCGCGTTCTCATGACTCGTCTTGCTCGTCTGGAAAGAGGTCGTAGCAGCATGAATCGCTGTTGTAGTGTTAGCAGTTTCGTTATCAGTCTTAGTGGTATCAGTGTTTGTTTCAGTAGCCATGATTTTCGTACTGGTGTTAGAACTGTTCGTGGTAATGAATCGTGTTCCTCCGACTCCTCGTATAGCTGCTACGAGTATTAGTATGAGTCCGCTTCGTACTCCTAGTATGCTTATGGTTCGGCGCAGTAGTATCATTATACTGAGTAGCATTGGTAGAATTAGTATTGCTATCATTAGTCGCATGGTGATTATTATTTGTAGTAGTATGATTCGTCGCAGTTTATCGAGATTACGAGTGGTAATACTACTTGTTAGTATTACTAGCACTATTCGTATTACTCTTATTATTATTATTATTAGTAGTAGTAGTAATATGCCTCCTCCTCCTCCTCCTCCTCCTCCTCCTCCTCCTCTTCCTCCTCCTCCTCCTCCTCCTGATCCCCCTCTCAAGTGGCGGTATGGGCCACGCCAGACACCCGACGACGGCTTTAGGGGGGCCCATGGGCCGCATGGCCAAGCCCAGAAGAGGGGAAGACCACGATTCAGGACGTGGCGAAGCCCGCACGTGGGGCCAGGTCCAAAGAGGGAGACGGCGTGACAGACGAGACAGGGGGGGACGGAGAGGGGGAGGGGAGAGACGAGTAGAACGACGACAAGACGCAAGACGAGGAGGCGAGGGACGGGCATGGCCAAGGCGAAAAAGACAAGAGGTGGATTCGGGACGATGGGATGAGGTGGCCAGGGACTGGACACAGGAGAGAAACCGGCCAGGGACGGCCAGAGTTGTAGGGAGTGGCCCTGGCCACTGTTCCTCCAGTTTTCCTGTCGAGGAGCAGGGCCACCTTCGTTCCACCGCTGCCGCCCGCCCGACACCCCCTTCGGCGGCAACTCTTGGGACACCCAGCTGGGGGAAGCCAGAGTTGGGCCAGATGACGCCAGACTGGGCAGAATGCGCACCCAGGGACCCCAGGCATCCGACGTCGCGATTTGTTTCGAAACGTGGACTCCTTCCCGGGGACTGGCTTTCGTCCTGATTCGATGCTGAAAACTCAGGGACTTGGTATAAGCTCCCAGGGGTCGAAAACGGCCGCCCCCCCCAGCAAAAGAAAAACGGCTTGGACCTCTTCACCACGCGAGGATGCCAGGGCATCCAGCCTCCCAGGGGCTGTAACCCGAAGGCAGCATAGGGGGCGGAGGAGGAGGAGGAGGAGCAGGAGGAGAAGGAGGAGGAGGAGGAGGAAGAGGGGAAAGGAGGGAGGAAGGGGGGAAGGAGGAGGAGGAGGAAGACCCTCCACCCACGGCAGCCGCAACAAGCCAGCCACGCGCAGGCCGCTCGGCGCCACCAAAACCCCCGCGCGCTTGCGCGAACGAGCGGGCCGAGCAATGGCGAGGCCGCCCCGCCCAGAGGCGTCAGCGGCCTCCGGGCACCGGCGGCCCCCGGCGCGCTCTCAGGAACGGGCCAGCGGGAGCCGAGGCCAGAGGCCTCCCAGATGAGGTCCGAGTAGATGGGGCCGGAGGATCGCGCCGCATCGCCAATGCATCGCCGATGTATCGGCGACGCATCGGCGATGCATCGGCGACGCCAGCGATTCATCGGCGACGTTGGCGTGGAGAGAATCGGGCCCCGCATCGAGCCGCATCGCCGATACATCGCCGATGCATCGGCGATGCGGCGCGATCCTCCTTTCTACTCGAACCCCATCCAGGAGGCCTAGATCTCAGGAGCAGGCCAGCGGAAGCCGAGGCTCGATGCGTCAGTCCGAGGCCGTGGCTTGGCCACCACCCCCACTCTTGGACCAGCCTCGGGCTGATCTCCATCCCCAAGGTCGACGCACCCAGGGCGATCTGATTCTTGGAGGCGTGCCCTCAGAAGCCGAGGGAGCCCTGAGATGTCCCAAGGTATGGTGGTGCTGCAAGTCAAAGGCATGGGGATATGTTCCAGGCCAGTAGACTTTGGGGGGGCCCGACGCCCTCCAAGAATAAAGCGGTGGTGATCCACAAGGCCCAGCCTCAGAATCAGGGCATGACCATCCCTCCCCTCAGAGCCAGTGCCCGGTCGTTCCTCCGGGTTGTCGCCCTGTGCCCGCCCGTGGGCGTCTAGTGCGCGCCTCGTGCGCTGGAGCTTGCACCACAAAACTTACACTACAAGAATTGCACCACATAGCTTGTACCACACGGCTGCACCACACAGCTTAGACCCCGCAGCTTGCACACCGCAGCTTGCAGCTTGTACCACATAGCTCACACATCCTGGGCACACGAAGCCGCTGCTCAGGGCCCGCGGTGGCAAGCATGCGGCCTTTCGGGCCACCACCTGTTCCTCCAGGACCTCTCAAGTCGGGCGGCGTCAGTTGACCACCTCACCGACCATGGCCCAGCCGATCCTGGGCCCGACCTGGGATCCGACGTTGCGCAAAAAAGCGCAACGTCGACAAAAATCACATGGTTTCAGCACGCACCGTTGTCGAGCCAGATTGATCTGTGAACACCCTGGGGCCCGAAACCCGGCGAAAACGCCAGGTGTGAGAATTCTGCATCGCCCAGATCTGATCTAGAGGCGGGATCGGTTCAGCCAGGATCGATCAGGTCGTCAAGCAATGTCTCCCGATCGGACGGGCCCCCTCCTGCAGAGCCCCTCCTCTTCACAACTGGGGAAACCACAAAATACCGATACCGCCATTCCCCAGACATCTCCCGGGGTGTGTTCTGAAAGAACACAGCAAAAACATGTCGAATCGTGAAGTAGGAAGGCGCTTGAAGCAGATTGGGATCTGGGGATCCAAAAATACCTGCTTTCAACGACCGGCGTGTATGGGTGCCTCTTCCTCCTCTGAACAAACGGCCCTCCCCGTCCTCCGCACCCTCAGTTCGCGGCCGCGCCCCCCCCCCGGGCAGCGGGGCTCCGAGGCGTCACGGCATGGGCCCCCACGGCCCGGGGGCCATGGCATAGCCCGCGGGGTACCTCCCCTGCCCTCCCGGCATGGGCCCCCACGGCCCGGGGGCCATGGCATAGCCCGCGGGGTACCTCCCCTCCTCCTCCTCCTCCTCCCCCTCCTCCTCCCCCTCCTCCTCCTCCGCCTCCTCCTCCTCCTCCTCCTCCTCCTCCTCCTCCTCCTCCTCCTCCGCCTCCGCCTCCTCATCCTCCTCCTCCTCCGCCGGAGGCCCAGACCCCCTCGGGTCAGTGAAAAAGATGCGGTGCGGCGGGTTCGCGTCGTGACGACGCCAGCGTGGGTTTCTGACATCGCGTGGATCGCTCAACCCTGAACGATCGGCGGCTTATCGATTGCCAGATCGCTCCATTGGGGCCGATTCTGGGCCTCTGGCGGCGTTCAACCTTGAACGCCCGCGGCGGGGTCGCGGCGAGTCGACACGACGCGAACTTACCGTAACAAGCAATGCCATGGAGATAAAACTCGGAGGTCGGCGCAGAGTTCTCGGATCGGCGCTGGCGCCCCCTCTCTTGAGTCGAACTTGAGCCGAACTTGAGTCGAGCCTGAGTCGAACCTGAATCTACATCCCACCAGCCCTCTGGGCGCAGGTTGTCTAGATCGTTTCCTGTTCCAGCCTCCTTCCTTTCCCTGCTCGGGAGGTTTACCTCCCCCCCTCCCTGGGTCTGCACGGGCTCCACCGCGAGGAGTTAGAGCGTCCAAGATGGTCCTAGATAGCTTCAAGAGGGCTCTAGCTAGCCCGAGATGGCCTCCAAGACCGCCCAAGATACCTCAAGACGGCTCAAGAT